ATTCGAGTGCCGGGAGCATTGTTCTACTTTTCGAAAAGCGGAAGCCTCGTTGTGTTTGTAAAATGATTCTTCGATTCGTCGTGATGCTGTGTCGCGCGATTCGAACGAGGTTTGATGATCTAGGAATAGTACGTACTTTGTGGATCAAATTGACGAAAAGGGTTAGAAGCATTCCGTGAATCGATGAGAATAGAGAAGAATTTGTTAACGACGAACTCGAGTGATTCCAAATGATATAGAAATGATGATGATCTATTTTATATATCATTTGTATATCAAAACTTCTATTTTATGTATCATTTATATATCAAAACTTCTATTTTATATATCATTTATATAAGTTTCGAATAATTTAGGGAAGACGAAGTGAAAAGTTGCAGTACTCGTTTTAATAAATTAGATTTTAGTCGCCAAAACGCGTGTTGTGTAACAATATCAATACTAAATTTCAAACTCTCGACGAGAAGGGTACGTAGCTTGTTCTACTTGTAAACTTCACGATTCAACGCGCTATGTGGTTTATTTATCCGCGCGGTAACCAACGGAGACTTGTACAGCGTCGATAAATACAAATACCATTAGACGTTGATCAAGTCTCACGAGATGCTATAAATGCACGAACGGCCGCAGTCTAATAACCAGAAGTTCAGAGTTAAGCTTAATAACCTAATAACCGAGTCCAATATAACCGAAGTTCTTCAGACCTAAAGTGAGAAACAGTCGGGGCAGCGTTATAGCGGGCATACCTATCAACGAAGATTGCTCCGAACTTCCGCTAAACGAAGGAATACAATAGTTGTACGAATTTAATATACAAAGAACACACCGGAACTATCCAGAAAGAACGCGAACAAGTACAAGAACGAAACGGATAGCCCGCAGGAAGTTGGAATCCGTGTCTAGCCAACGGAGATCTCGATTAAACCGGCAAATATATAATAATTAATAACTTTGACGCATATAGCGCAACCAGAACTATCAGAACTAATATAAACAATAGTAAAAGTGAAGTATATAGCTCGGTAAAAGTTGAAACTTGCCTTGATGCACCGGAAATCTTAATCAAACCTACAGATACATGATAATTATACAAATTTGACGCATAAAAATCAAGTAGAACTGCTAGAACTATTTCAACCAGTTAACTGTGGAATTTAGTTTGAAAAATCACTCATTGAACACGCATTGAAATCAAATAATAAAGTGTATACTCGTGAAAAGCAGAGCAAATGATCTATACTACATTCTACCGCAAAATTAAAGCAAAACGAAGAATTACATGTTTATCTGGAAAAATGAATAATTGATCCAAGAAATTAGTACCATTTTGCGTTTTAACACATTGAACGCCGGCCCCGCGATAATGCGTGATTTTTAGTCTATCGTTTAATTATGTAACACAAATCCAAAGTAAAATTTACAAAATCGAGTTCCTTATTCTCTTCCGTAACTTAGAAATTTTGGTTTAATCGATGTTTAAAATCGTATCAGTATAATCACCGACGCTCGCGTTTTTCGTAGCTGAAATTCAGCCGGCGTTCAACGTGTTAAAATGACGGTGTATACTCGTGGAGCACAGTTAACGGGTCAAAATGCCACAGACATTAACAACAATACAGTGTCTACCGAACAGAAGTTGAAATTCAGTTCCAGACACCGGGGATCTCGTTTCAGCAGACGAGAAACACTTTTTCCCGGCGGCTGACAGGTCGCGGACACGTCCATCCGCGTTTGGAAAATTCCTGGCGCGCTACCAATTCGCGTCTCCGCGGCCAATGGAGATCAACGGGGGCTTTATTTCGAACGATATTAACAGCGCGCCACGGAGACCCCGGTCAGGCTTCATTTTGTTCGCGATATTAAACGTCGGCGGGCGGGATACGCGGATTTACGCGGGCCGCGGCGGGAAACCGCGAGAGAATTCCGTCCATGTAGGTCAACGAACACGGCTATCCCGGCCGAACCTTGTGCCAGTTTGCAAGCCGCGCTTAATAAACATTATACACGGCCGATGATTATTTTCGGAGCACGGCCGGCAACGGCTCCAAGAGCTTCCCTCTCGCAACCGCCCCCTGCCACGGGCCGATCCGTGCCTTTGAATTTTCATCCCGAGACTTCGATGCAGATGGAACGTGTATTCAACGGGTTGAGTGGCGGAAAATTCTTGGAAAAATTCCTGAGAAAGGCTCCCTTTGTTTCCTTCGCGATTCACGTGAATGGTTATGCGAAAGCAGTAATTGATATGATTAGAGTTAACACTGGAACTACGTTTCGATCTTTCTGTTTAGCAATTATTGATATTTTCCATTGAATATTCGAAATTTGAAAATAGTTTCATTTGAGTACTGTAATGAAGGTTTGAAGAAACTGAGAATATATTGTTACTATCTGTTATTATTTATTGTTAGATACATATAATGATCTATAACAGTTACTAATATTACTAAATATTTTGATTCGACATTCGACATTCGAAATACAATTTTTGAGGAAGATGTGTACGTAATATTCTTATTTACCGTGCGCTAGGGGAAGGTAGAGACGAGTAAACGTCAGTTTGAAATTAAAATAGCATGCTGGGAGTGTCGTCTAGCTCGCTTGAAACTACAAACCGAAGGTAAATATTATTCGCGACGCAGACGCCGGTAGGGTTCCGCGAGCAAGAGCCTCGTGGTTCGATTATGATAAGCTCGGCGATTCGCGTCGATCATCGTGACACGCGAGGTTTAAGCTACACGAAACCGTAATCAATCATTCCGCGGAGGATTAAATATTTTTAGGTCGGAACTTGCACTTCGCGTCACAAAATTGCATTTTTGCTGAGTTTCATTTTTGAGGTCAGCATTCCAAAGTAGTTTCGATAACTGTGACATTTAAAGACTAATCACTCAATGCAGGGAATCCATGTTTATAAAATAAAAAATAATTAAAATTAGCCTCCACCAAAATATATCAATATTCTCAAATTCTTATAAACCTTCCTTCACATTATATTAAGTCAATGCAAAATTTTGTACGTGTTAATGGACAAATTTGTTTTGAAACAAATAACAATTAATGTATATCAAAAATTGTTTTATCTTTTTTACTCAACTTTGGTTTAATTAGAAGAGAGAACTTTATTCCTCATAAAGGAAACGTCAAAACTGCATCACACACTCAAATGTCACAAACATGTTAACAGTCCAAATGATTTTGTAATCTACTCAGTAGTAGGCGCCTCTCAGTCGACAATTGATTCGACATAGCAAAATTGTAAAATGTGATATTTAATATTAAACTTTGTACAATGTATCGATATGTAAAATATTCAAAGAAAATAGTTTCGTTCTCGTCAAGTCAGTTCGAAAGAATGTCGTTAGTGTCTGATCAGAAAGTGTTGAATATTTCCAATGAAAAACTTCTTGAGTGCAAAGGGTTAACCTGACTACGGACTTAGTTTTTATTTTATTTTATTTTAGTAGCCCCACAGTAGGTTTAGAGTAGAATCGTATGAATAGTCAGACCGGTACCAGTGAATCCAATCAGAACGTCCGGATCGACGCGATCGTAAGGGCGACCGAGTTGACCCGAGCGCGATAGGTCAAAACGCCGCGAACCCGGCTCCCCTGTTGCACCAGCGGCACGTGCACGTTTGACAGTTCCTGCGAGTCAACCGGCGTTCTGTCGTTGTCAGTGAACAAGTCACCGGGATCAACGGCTCGTTGGTAAGCACGTGAAAGTCACACGCGACGAAGTCATCTATCCATTAGCAATCGTAAACGTCAGCAGGCGCGAGTCGCGAAACGGAAAAAACGCGAGTGCAGAAAAAGTACATCGGGAATGATGTATCGGTTAAATCACTTCGATAAGAAGGTATCGTAAATATTAATAAAAGCGAGGCTTCCTAAAACGAGGCAAAGAAGACGATCGATCATCCGAGCAATCGAGATCCGAGATAACAGCCGCGGGGGATTACGCATCTGTTCATTTGTCTTTAATCATCGCCGATTTTTTCTTCGATCGGGGAAATTTCAGCTGTGCGGATCAACTGATCGGAGTGGCAATTAAGCGGTATTGTTTGTATACAAATTGCAATTAAGAGAAACATCGTTGAGTGATTGATTAACGCACTGAACGCCGGCTAAATTTCAGCCACTAAAAACGTGAGCGTCGGTGACGATAAAAATTATATTCATACTTTTTTAAACGTCGATTAAACCAGAATTTCGAACTTACGGAGGAGAATAAGGAATTCGAATTTGTAAATTTTCGAATTCGACAGATGAAGCTAGATTATATACCAATTACTAGAACAGTAGAGAAATAGGAAACTACTGAACTCTTGATGTTTTCGATTATGAAAATTCGATCTGAAATGTCGACATCCGTCAGCAAAGGGTTAATGATGGATTCTTTGAGGAATTCAACGATCGTTTGTAGTACGGCGAATCCCGTTTCTGATATCAAGCTGACGCTTGTTGACTCGAGACGAACTCTCGAGAGTAGCTGTCGCTAGTTCTAGTCTTGACTCTGCCTGTTAGAGCAGAATGAACCGTGCGTGTCTCTCGCGGGTACTCGGTGTAATGACGATGATAGCGTTGCTCGACACCGGCTCGAAAGAACAACAACCTCGACCGTTCTTGTTCGTCGTGGAACTATTCTACTTGTTAATAGCATATTAATAGTTAATAGCATAACAAACTCGCTGTGATCCAACGTTTTCTACACAGCTGGACCACATACCTTCTTGTATTCTTTCCAATAGTTATCACAGACATGACTGTTCTATATCAAATACATTAACTCCCAAAGAGACAAAAGAAAAATCCCAAACTACGTAATGAACACTGCAATCCAACGTTTTCTAAACAGCTGGACCACCTTCTTGTATTTTTTCCAATCGTTATCACAGACATGACTGTTCTACATCAAATACATTAATTCCCAAAGGTACAAAAATCCCAAACTACGTAATGAACACTGCAATCCAACGCATCCTACACGGCCGGACCACATACCTTGTCAGCGTCTACTGCTTCCAATCGTTATCCCAAATATATCTGTTCTGATCAACGATGGGCCTCGGTGCGTTGACGGACCCCTTCATAAGTCTCCCTCGCGACTTCACCGGGCGTCACTATGCGGGCTGACAGTGCACGCGTTTCCCAACGGCCGTGCACGGGACCACGCTGTCTACCGTCAACCAGAAGGGCTCGCCGCTGGCGAACTCGAGAAAACTCGTCGACCGAAACTCGGGACTCGAATCTGGACTTAGTCAGCTTCTATTGGGTTGTAACATAAACGCTCGGATAGATTCAACGTGTTTCTCTGTCATTAGCTTCCGGAAGCAGCTATAAGTCCTGGATTTAAATCATTGACCCTGATCGTTGACATTAACAATCTACAATTCTATTTCTATCAGTGAAGTGAATCTTAGATCCAAACTAATCAAAAGTAGCTTGTTCAATTTCTTAACCATTGCTTTAAGTACTGGCTGAAAAGCTTCGTTCTCCGGAGGGAGTACAGATAATTAACACTAAAACTACCGAGCAACTGGAGTATCTACTAAGTTTGTAAAATTAGAAGAATGTATTTTCTGAGTAGATGAGTTATTGTATCTAAATAGACAAATTCATGTTACAGCGTTTCGAAAGTCTCGTCCCAATTTCAGTGCTAGCAGACTAAACATTCCAAGATCGGTAGATTCGACTATTCCGGTAGTTTCAGTGTTAAACTCTCAGGACTTGCTCGTAGCGAACCGATTTATGTTACTACCTAATAGTCAGAGGACGAGCTTGATCTCTCGATCTGTAGGATCTGCACGTGAGAAAGCGACACGTCGGGTGCAGGGGGGTGGGTTTCGGCGCACACGCGTGCTGAATCGGCGTCCCGGTACAGGCGTCCTCTCGCGAGTACGAATTACTGAAGCCACCTGTCGAAAGAGCCTGTCTTTTATACGCTCGAGGTGACATCAACGAGATAAGGCCGGCTCCCGGAGTTTACATGCGGCTGGGTTTCCTCGTAGCCGATCGGTCCGCTCGTGACACTGAACCCTGCGTCCGATTACCGTCACGCGCGGGATTATTATAAATTATTCAACGGATCGGCGACTCCTCGTGCTATCCTCGGATTCCGAGGTATCCTGGGATCCTGGCAGAGGACAGACTCCGTGGCTTCCTCTTCGGATGAATCGGAATCGAGATGAAATCTTCGGATCGATCGTTCTGATTTCGACAGATCGAAGATTCTTGGACTATTCGACAGTTTGAGTGCTCAGCGAATTTTATTGATACAGCAGGACAGACTCCGTAGCTTCTTCGAATGAGTCGAAATCGAGATGAAATCTCTGGATCGATTTTGATTTCGACGGATCGAAAATTCTTGGACTATTCGATAATTTAACAAGTGCTCAGCTAATTTTATTGATACACAGGATCGTAGGGTAGAATTTGACGAAGAATGTTATAATGGTTTTAATTAAGAATATTGAGAGATTGGGAGGTTACTGATTAAAGTTTTCTAAGTCAACCGATACCGTCTGAGTATCGAGTTTTGGGATTCTCCGCGTAGAATGCGAGTGTGAATATTGATGCTGAGCATTCGAATGGTTAATTTGAATATTGATGCAAAGTTTAATGGGAGCTCGAACGTGGAGATTCGATTAGTGTTTAAGATTCAATTGACAGCGTTTGCTTTCGTTTGGAATAAAAGAAACGATGCTCTAGTTCCATTTGGAAGCTATGATTGTTTAAGTCTTGATGCATTGTAATTTCTGAACTGCGACGGTTCAGCTTGTAAACTTGAATACACTGCCGCAGGTTTTCGTGAATAGCTTTTGTATCCCTAGCAACGCGTGCATCGGAATTATCATTTCCGAGACTTAAAGTCAATCGAGAATCGAAATCGAGGGATTTGATTTAAGTAGGCGTCTCGAGTGCTCGGCGTTCTGCGTAAATGCGATCATGGAAGTAATTGTTGAATTGCGGATGAAATATACTTTGTCCCAACACAGTCCACTCGGTGGAATTAGCGTCATTATCTATAGATCTCGCGTCGAGTTGACTTTAATCCCCGACAATGATCTCGAAGCTTTCGAGCGTTCGTTTCACTCTACCCTTTACAATCGCTGTAACGCTGATTATAAACACATTACCAGAGTATTAGAATCGGAGTAATGAATTTCCGATGGAATGCAAATCGATCGACACGTTCGAAGCGTGAAACGACTATGCTCAGCGACTGAAACAATTGTTACTGATCACTCGCTTCGCCGGTCACGAGGTACACATAATCATTGAACAGATAACGAGCAGACGTTCTAGTACTATATCGATAAAGCCATGTGAGACCTCCTCGAGTACTTTTTTTCTTTTATCGCTGCGTGGGACACCGGTGAATTAGACGGTGCGTTATCCAAAATTAAACTCGACGTCCGTTAAAAATGTCACACAGTTCACGACCGTTTACATCTTTCGTGCAACTTCGGAAATTAATCGTCTTACTTATCGTAACACGTTTGTAGAATTTTATGAATGGACCGTTAAAGTATGCACTGCTGGGAGGAATTTGAAGTTCTGAGAACGCTTGGACGATGTAAACAAAACAAGCGGTCAAAACATTTCGACAATGTGTCGAAATTCCACTTCCGATAGAATCGAATTATATAATGCCGAGAGCTGGACTGTGAGAGAACGTCGCTGTATCAATTTACGCTCGCGAGAATCGTCTTATCGAGCGATTCCGTTAACGCGAACGAGAGACCGGACGAAGGAGCATACCGATCATTCTTAAACTGAACACGAGCATCGCAGATAAACCGAGGAAATCGATATGTATGCTAATCCTAGAGGCTGAGAATATTAAAGACGCTAATTAGCTTCCCAAAGATAGCTTCATTTGAATATTCTCAATGGCAAAATTGCGGAAACTGGTTCCCCAGACCGCCGTCCTCTTAATTGCAACTAAAATAAACGATTATGTAACGTGGGAACTGGGAAGTACCTGCGAAGATTTCGGAAATTGCCAGAGAAATTCTACTGACTGCCGGTGACAGAAGGGAAACACGTGTGTTTGTGAAACTTGGCAGTGATTTCCATGGAATCTTTAATACGTTGACTATCATGGTGGACAGTGACGAGTGAGGTTTAGGAATTGCTTGGAGAAAATGCAGGGACACTGATATCGAAGATATTTGATAATATAAGTAACCAATATTGTAATATAATAACTGCGCTAGGAAATCAATAATTACCTAGCGCCATTTAAATATACTATATCAAGTAATATTTGGAAATTTAATACTCGAAATAATACGTTGAAGTTTAATATTATAACATTAGAAATTTACATGGAACAATATTTCGAAATCGAATATTAACGCAATAATACCTTAAAACATGAAACTCTATTGAACAACATTTAGAAATTTACTACACGAAACAATATGTCGAAATTAAATATTAACGCAATAATACTTGAAAACGTATACTCCATTAAATAATATTTACAAATTTATTACATTCAGCAATACTCCCAAACCGAATATTCCATTGAACAATAGTACACGCTCAAAATTCCTGTGTTAAGGAAACCGATCGTCGAGACTACAGATTATCCTTGACCACGTGCGGGAAAAACGCGACACGAGATAAACGGCTGCCCAGCGAGTTTCCTCGAACCTTCAATCGCAATCCTTTCCCGCGAGTCTCATTAAGAAGGTGGTACGAACGCGTGTCACGATCGCGACACCGCGGTCGCCGCGGGTACAAGGAAAAAGGACGGATCGTGGCTGCAATATCGAAACGACAAGGGAATCCCGTTTCTCCCTTTCCACCTTCGCGGAAAGACGACGCGTAATCGTCGAGCAAATATTAAGCAAATGAGACCGGAGGGATCGGTTTTATCGGTACGCGTCGGTGCACACGCGAGCACTGGGTTTGGGAGAATGGAAACATTTCGCAGCGCCCGGCGGACCTGCGTCATTGCGACGAACTCGGCCACTAACGTTTAACGAGGGTAGCGGGTCGGGGAAAAATTCGAGGTTGGAAAGTGACGCGCCACCTTAAAGCTGACCACCCGTTGCATCCACTGCGGCAGCCGCTGGGGTGTTTTGCGCCCGACGCGACACGTGTCTCCCTTTCGATCGGCTGCGAGCAGCTTGAAAAAGTGAGCGTTTCTATTTTTCTCTCGCTCTCCGCGCTAAGTGGACCATCGGTTCCTATGGAAATGAGGATTTTCGTATTCTCGCGATACCCGTTTTCTTTTGATCCGGGGAAACGCTTTGAAGATCTAGGTATTGATAGTTTTGCTCCTTTTTCGCGCTGTGAACCAGCGGTTTCTATGGAAATGAAGATTTTTGTATTCTCGAAGTTCTCGCTTTCTTTTGATCTGCGCGAATGGTTTGAAGGGGTATTGATACCTTTGGTGTTTTAAGTGGATTGTGGATGTTTATGGTAATGCAATTTAGGTTGTTTTAATCTTCATTCTTTTTTGGAGGTAATTTGCGAAGTGTGAGGACTGTTTGAGGTACATATTTTTGCTAATTCCTATTTTTTAGAGATAGTTGTTAACTGGGATTAGGGGAGAGATTCGATGACGTGGCGAAGATAAATAAAAGTTAGGGGTTCGAGTGTAACATCAGTTCAGAAAGACCTGCAGTCTACAGACTATCCGAGGACGGTGTGCTAGAAAGTTTGCGCATTAGTGGTAGAATAGTTCCGAGATCGATTCGAAGGCACGTATTGGTATATACGAGAATGCAGAAGCGTGAATGTTGCCTTGGTTAAAGTGGAGATGTGGTAACAGCTGCCAACACTGGTGTCTAAAAAGAAGCGCGACCAGATGCATCCGACGAACGGCGAGAAACAATTCCTAATCTAATCATCAAGAAGAAACCAGAGAATCCTCTCGGTCCACAACAGCACTACCCTAAAACATCCCACATATCGCACATATCTAAACAATTCGGAATCACCTTAACGATCACAGAAAGATTCTACAGTCCATAAAACTCCACAATGCATCATCACCCACAAAAAACTGCCCAAAGCTCATGCGAGCGACCGAAACTTCAAGCGACTTCACCTGCGACATAAGTGCTACACTAGCAACACATATCGCCACAATCCACGTGGGCAAAGTGCATCGGTAACCTCATCATCGCTGTATCTCCCTCGAACACACGAAACTGCAGCTTAAAAACCACCCTTGCTCCACGGAATCCCACCCTGTACCATGGAGATCCGAAAACCATCCCCCACGATAACCCTGAACAACCGAGGAGAATCCTTACGTAACCACTGGCTAACATCTCGTTCGCAAGATCGATGAATCGAAGGGAACGTCTCGATTCCGGTTCATCCAAAAGCGAGGAGCCATGGGGAAGCCAGAAGAGGACGGTCCGATCTCTGCCTCCCTTAACCGCACGGTCGGAGCGCCGTAAAACCCGATCCCGAAGAGCGAGCGGACGTCCGCGGCTGCGCGTGGCGCGGTGTTGGTGTCTCCCGGTGGCATTGACCTTGAGATATCCCGGCGACCAAGGTCCGGGCGAATGTCGCGGGGGTCACGGAGCAGGAACGCGGCGACCTTGACGAGGTTCACCCAGGGCCGCGGCGGCAGGACCCGCTCGGGGAGCCGGAGCCCTTAATCCCGGCGCGGCGAGGGACTCACGCTTCGGTTTGCCTCGGCGCCGGCTATTTCTCTCGCTCTCTCTCGGCCCGGACGCTTTTCGTGTGGACCGCGATGCTTAGTAGCTTTCGAACGACTGACGCAACGGTGCCTCGGCGTCCAGACGCTTACGCAACGACGCCGTGTCCCCTCTTTTTCATCCCCTCGGATTGAAGCGGAACGCGAAAAGGGACGCCGGCGACGACCGACGCGGCGGACGTAGGACGGCGCACAGGCGGGAGATCGGAAGCGAGCCAGCGGGAACCGGCGCGAACCGGATATCGTCGAAATTTTCTGGGAACGAGCCTTGGCGCGGCCCGGCGTCGCGACGCCCCTGGGATCGAACCGGTGACGTATGCACGCGGTCGGAACGAGAGAGGCTCCTCGAGAGACCCGGTGACGCGGATCGAGACCCTCTGACGCTGACACGCGGACGATGCTGCGGGGTGCCTCTCGTCTACGTCAGGGTGCATCGCGTTCGTTGCCAGTTTTCTTTTGATAGGATGTTGCTGTTTATTGGCTGGGTTTGTTCGTGAGTTGGGAGATGGCGACGCCTGTGAATGGGAAGTTTGTTCGTTGGGGTCTTTAGCTTTGTCGCTGGCTTCAGAGGGTTTAATGATGGCCGAGTGTAGGTGGGGTTTAGAGGTTTGTATTTGTAGGAAGTTTTGAATTATCTGTTTCGAAGAATTAGGGGTTGAAACTGATTTAGAGTTTGCCTTGAAGTTCTATTGGATTCTAATGGATCGCAGTCTCAAAAAGACATCATTTGCTTTAGAGAGGAACACTGAGAGATTCCTGGGTGCTCAAAGATGATCGTTAACACTACAACTGCCAGGTATGTCAAAACGAGCAATTCTTAATTTCTGTTACAACTGCTGCAAAGGTATAGCTTTGAGGAACGATCGAAGAAGCTGATTCGGTAATAGCTAAATTGAAGTATACATACCGGATAGTACAACATACAAGGGTTAACGCTTTACTCTCGGAAGTTCTTCACTAGAAATATTTTAACTCACATACATTGAGGAACAAAGCTATACTTGAATATTTCTCAAATTAATGCATTATACGATATCAAATATCAAACTTTATAGTCTTACTGTATAAAATCAAGTGAGAGTCACCTCTCGAGTGCAAAGGGTTAACCCTTCCCAGACAAAAATTGCCAAAAGTATACGAAACCTTCCTCAAATTCTACTAAATTAAACATTCATTGCTTCAATCATAGACTAATGAAACCGTACACTAATTTCTTACTCCTCGAATAACTAAATCATTCGTAACTTGGTACTCCAAACATGAACCTTCGATCCCGACGTCCGTCCGCAACGGGTTAATACATACCGGACATGACTATCGAAAATAGTCACGGTTCCGGCTGCGCAGAGGTACCGAGCGAGCATCAGTCTGCGGTCCGATTGCGACACGCTCCGCTCGAAAGTAGGAAAAATTCCCGGAGACTGACGTCGGCGGCCGGCTGGTTTTCGGGTGCACATCGTAAATACGAAAGCGCAGGCTTGGCACGAGATAAATGTGGGTTGCTGGAGCGCAACGCGCGCAAACGGACTGCAGCCGGCCTCCCTGATGAATGGATATAATCCGGCCGATTTGTCAGAGACCGGTTTCCGGCCGGATTAAATCGGCCCTCTATCGGTGGCCCGGCTCCTTCGAAATCCGAGACGATGCAGACTTCCTGCCCCGGCTCTTAATATTCATCCGACGACGGTGGTTACGGCTCGAGTCTGCTCGGCCGTGGCCTCGCAATAAGTCGGCTATGAAATATTCTAAAGGGGTAAGCTGCTTGAGGGATTGCCTCGCCCGGCTCGCGATGCAGCTCATTTGCCCGTTCGCGCTGGGAGATGCAACTCGGACGCCGGCGCGTGATTCTTCGGGGAAATTAGAGGAGTGGGAACCTCGCCTATGATTGAATTTTTACCACGAAACTACGTTGACGTTGTTCCGGGTGTCTCGCTGATGAACATTGCGCTGAATGCAATTTCATTGCTCAACCTATTGCTGGAAACGAACATTCGTCATAGGATTCAAGTGAAGCTTACTTTCAAGATGGTTTCGAACATCTAATGTTTCCAAGATGTCCATAATCGAGAAACACTCGAAATCGACCAGTTCTAGGAAAAATAAACTTTGAAGTATCGAGAATGAAATTATATGTCTCCCACGTTATTCCGGGTGTCTCGCTGATGAACGTTGCGCTGAATCAGTGGGAATGCAATTTCATTGCTCAACCTATTGCTGGAAACGAACATTCGTCATAGGATTCAAGTGAAGCTTATTTTCAAGATGATTTGAAACATCTAATGCTTCCGAGATGTTCATAATCGAGAAACAACTCGAAATCGGCCAGTTCTAGTAAAAATGAACTTTGAAGTATCGAAAATGAAATTATGTCAAAGGAAACGTTTTGTCAATTCGGGCGAATGTAACCTACAAATATCCGTTTCTTCGAGAAATGTCGAGAACCGTCAAGGTCTGTCGCAGTGTCAACAAACAGAATGATCGTCGTATCAGGACCGACCCGAACGACCTTTACATCGAAGTGTCCCACGCGATGCGAGGATCGCGGAGAGAGCCGCGATAAGCAGCGCTGCTATCAGTTCCGAGTTGTGCGTTGAGGGAAGTAACGCAGGCCTCGGCCTCTCGCCAGATCATCGATTGCTTCGGCCCGACTGTGGTCCCGTGCGTCGCGATTTCGGCCACTGCAGAATGCAGATGCACAACGGCTGCGACGGGAACTCGACCTCAGCCTCGCGGCGGACACGCTGACCCATTTCCGATGCCAGAGGAATTTTTCAAGCCCGTTCCAAAGACGCCGCGCCGCGAGGTTCACGAGAAAATCATTTCGCAGCGGTTTCTATGGAATAAAGGGACGTTTGTGGTCGAATCGCGCGCATACCACGCGCACAATTAACCCCTTGACGTACAATATCGAGTCTGACTGGCGAGGAAGTTCTGATGCGAGAGATACGAGAATGAAATGTCACTTAATTATCTTGGGTTCGAATTAAATACTATTTTTCTGTTATTAACACGTTGAATACCAAGCAAATCGAATTACTATACTTCACTCGATTAAACGATGATAAATAATGCTACCCATTGCGGTGACATTCAGCTAGATCACTGTGCAATGATAATAACGTAAATAAATTCAGTGAATATTAAATTCGACTTAAAATCTTGGTTGATTTTATGGCGATTATTCAATTCTTATTTATAGCGTAGATAAGTCGGATAAATTTTACATTCAATTCGAAATCTTTTGTCGACTCAGGGGGAAAAGACGCGAGGCGATGTTATCAGCCGCGATGAATGTCAAAATCAATTAACATTGAGCCCCCGGTCTGCGATTATTTCGATTGTGCTGGCTTGTAGAGGTTCGATAACAAATATTGGATCGATTGTGGAGGTAACGAGCAATATTATTGGACGCTACTGGACGGAACGCGAAGAGGAAATTCTACAAACAATCGGTGACGAGCAATTCCATATCTATCAGAATACCGTGAAGACATTACTTCGCCGTCCGTGCGTATAACGTCGACTAACAAACCAACGAACGCCGACCAGCGCGAGTAATCAACGCGCGAACAAGATCCTGGACCAACAGTAATTAACCACCGGCGAGTAAACAATACGGATCAATGCAGGCCGAGAGTAATCTGTCAATGATCTCGGAAGTCGGGGCTGGGGAAGAGTCATCGCTGCCGGACAAACGATAAAATAACTTGTAAATAAGGATATCACGATTAAAAATACTGGTCGTAAAAAATGCTCGCTGTTGTTGATATTCATTATTCACGGGCAGGTTAATTTACTTGCAGAACCACATATGTAACTGCAATTTATGGGATCATTAAATCGAATTTCTTATGAATCAATTTGTAAGCGGAAAACTGAGGAATTATATTAACTTTGCGGACGAAGATTGATGACAAAGATGAAGCTATATATCAATTGCTTAATTAATAGAAAAAGGAAGAACTATACAGTGATCTCACTCACCACATGATTTCATACAGTAAAACTATAAAATTTGATATTTCATATTATACTCCGTATAATGCATCAATTTGAGAAATATTGAAATAAAATAGCTTTGCTTCTCAATGTACGTGTGATTTTTCGTCGAGGTTCACAAAATATCGTGTTTATCTCATCAGAAAATATTCAAATATTTTTAGTGGAAAAACTTCCGAGTGCAAAGGGTTAAGTCATGTCGAAATGTCGACATTCGTCCGTAAAGGTTGATATTATAATAAAATTTGAAACTTGAGACAAATTTCTTTAGTTTCTTAGAAGTTTTGTCAGATTCCTAAAGAAACAACAGATTCTTTAAGTTTGTTTAACCCTCAGTTCAGTTATTTACATAGCAACATAAAGTATGCCAACGATTCATTCGAACAAGCATCGGAAACAAAGTTGCGTCTTTCGACAGCGATCCCTGGCATCGGTCCCAACAATGGCGGCGCGGCGGCGAGCGCATCAATGGCGCGCGTAGAAAACTGTCAGCCGTAATTCCGATCGCAAAATCGTCCATCGATAGAACAAACGAATAGTATTATCCGCTCGAATCAATTCGCGCAGCCGCGCGATCGCTGCGCAATAGCAGTAATAATGGTCCTCGCGGCCTCTTCGGCTGGCCATTCGATATTCGCTGGTGCATTCAACAACCACGACCCCGATTTCGAGCTTGCCGAGCATTAGTCCGGAGAATCGCGAGATTCCTGGTGGCCGGGCGACAAATCATGGCTCTAGGACTGCGAAATCGTTTCGGTTGGCCAGTTGATTATTACCGTAATACAGAGTGGACGCGCCTTATCCATTGAGCGCGGCAGACAACCGTGTGATAATGCTATGGTGCTGCGAGCAGCTCTATCAAAATAGATGCTATGAAAACAGTGCAACACAGTGAGCAACTCTGAAAATAGACGCTATGGAAATATTAGCACTGTGGACAGTTCTATAAAAATAGACACTAAACATTTTAATCCTTGGACGAATATCGATAGTTTTCTGGATCAGACTTCAATATTTGGGATACCAAGTTACAGACGAATGAACTACTCAAATTATTGTTTATGCATTCGATATGTAACTCGACGAGCTACAGGTTTTGCATACTTTACAGAATCTTCATCTACAAAACGTTAATCAACGTAGATCCAACGTTGTATAAACATAGAAACGCAATCGATTTGCAGAAAATTATGTCTCAAATGAGAATCATGTATAGCAAGGACTACTTAGAGATACATTAGTAGTCTTCAATTCTCGTTATGCGAGTAGTCGAATTTCGGGGTTTTCTCCACAGGCAGCCGCACTGTGCGCCGGCTCGCTATCCAGCAGCCAACGGACGCCCGTAATAGTTCAGCGGAATTTAATCGAGACGGCAATTGTTTCCTATTAACAGTTATGAAAGCGGCCCGGCGATCCCTGAACCCCCCTTTGAACCGTCGCCGACGCCGAAGCCGTACGTATCTCCCTCAGACAGTCGTTTTAATTGGAATCCATTCGGGAAGATTGCGGGCCGTAGCAATGGCGTCCGAATCACCCTAAAATTGGTGGCCGGAGCGCGCGGCCACGGAATACATGGACATTCTAGCCTGGGGACCGGGAAATTCGATGTTACAGTTTTCTGCGTGACGTCTGATCGCTCGCTGAATGGAAAACGATTATTCACGGTGCATTCTTCGAAGAATTTAGAAGACACTGTTAGCACGCTCACTTTGAAATCGATGATAAAAGCAATTCTTTTGTTTAACACTAGGTTTACGGGCATTTATTGTAGTTTATTCTATTGTTCCTGGGGAAGTT